TCTTACCTATAATAATATGCATATATATAAAAAAATTATTTTATAATTTAAAATATATACAACTACAAAATAATGACTATTAAATTTGTAGGGTCACTGATATTGAAAGTTTGAAACCCTCCTTCTCCATTGAACGGCCCTAATATTTTTTTTTTTATTAATTTTCAGTATCTGATAATTATATTAAATTTCAATTAATTTGAAATCAAACTTTATCGAAACTCTATTAGAAAAAAACTCTTCTAACTCTTATTTTTCTATTCACAAAATTTAAAATTAAAACCTTACTTAAGTCGAGCTGAATTCTTTTAACTCGGATTAACGAGTGATTAGTGAGCGGAACTAATTTTGCAGTCCCGAACTGCATGCTAATTTTGCAGTCCCAAACTGCATGACGGGGAACCATATATTTTATATACATAAGATAAACCCTGGATGGACAACCTAAACCTCACGCAGCACGCACACACAAAGTGTCGACTGGTGACTGCTGCGCCATGTCTCTGGATTCCCACATCGAGAAGGTCATATGGAGCCAGGACCAGATACTCCGGCGGGTGGCGGAGCTTGCTTCTCAAATAACCGACGATTTCAAGGATTATTCTCAGCCTCCGGTCGTCGTGGGTGTGGCCACCGGTGCTTTTCTGTTCTTGGCTGATCTTGTCAGGGGAATTCAACTACCTGTATCCGTTGATTTGGTTCGAGCCGAGTCCTATGGTTCCGGCACCTTGTCCAGTGGTTCCCCCACCATTTCACTCGACTTGAAGCTCGACGTCAGGGGCAAGCACATAATCCTGGTAATTCACACGCTACCAATTCGAATTACTTCCTGCAAAGATTCACCTTTTCTTTTCCTTTAATTAAAATTGCAACAAGTGGGTGTGTAATTGTGTTTAATTTATCGGTATGGACCTGCTGTTCTTCTCCTTTTCATTAAGTTGGAAATTTGGGGGACTTGGAGGGGATGATAGCACTTTATTTTCCACCTGGGTTTTCTTGAGTTCCTGTGGGATTCGAGTGGGTGGCAACCGGACCCTCAGAATTGTGTTTGGCTATTCCCTCATCCTAAATTTTTTCTCTTCTTACACTAGGAGATGTTTTGTTGGTTTTTTCAGTGAATGAAAGTGGGTTAAAAAGAACAAGAATTGTTGTAGCGCCTGTTTTTATGCTAGTTTTCTCTGAAATTGGTTTTGAAATTATTGAAAGTGATGATTGTTGATGCAAGTGAAAAATCATGCAGCTCATGCGTCTTGAGTTGCCTTTAGTAATAAGTTGGTTTACATTATGGAAGGAATATATTATATTGTGGTTTATTCCATTGGCACTACAGTGATGAGAAATAGTTGTTCTTGTGCTTTTCTTAAGATAGATGTTAATGATTGTTTGATTAGGTTATCACAAATTTAAGACAACTCATATCCCATATTAATGTTGTTGTCTCTAGGTTGAAGATATTGTAGATACAGGAAACACCTTATCCTGTCTCATTTCACATTTGGAGTCAAAGGGAGCATCCTCTATATCAGTTTGCACTTTTCTTGATAAACCATCAAGGCGGAAGGTTCATTTTCAGTTAGTTGGTGAAGGAAAGTTCTACAGAGGATTCGAGGTAAGATGTCTCAAATGTTTGTTTTTGTGTGCCCTTGATGTGTTTGAAAACCTAGCCCCATAAGTAATGCACATTGTTTCATAAATAACTTTCTTAATGCTTCCAGTATTTCCTAAATTTTTATCAAGACATATCATTTAAAAGACCCTGAATCAATAACAAGAAACTTTAGTGAGTTTGTATCACTAAAGCAAATTTTCAGATCACCCTTGTGTCTATTTTGACATGACCCTTTTTCTAATGAGAGGCAGAAGATTTCTCTATTGTAACTTCTAAACGACTTTTAGATGAGAAATAATACAACTTTCCCTTCACGTTATGAATTATAGAAGAAAGGGATCCTCCATCCTAGTGGTGGAAATGATCTTGAAGAAAAAAAAAAAAGAGAGGAAAAGCGTTCTATATCCCAGCATTGCTAATACTTTTAGTATTTTAAGTAAATATTGAATCTCTACTGCTTCCTAGTAGAAGAAGATAGAATGGCTTGTTTGTTGTGAATTCCTCTTAAATTTATTGCATGTATAGGTATTTGGATTTGCAACTTTGTATTGTAGGTCAAATCCTAATGACAACTTAATTGCTTTCTTTTTCAGTATGAACATCTTGTCTCTTGATTATTATGTTATAACATGGATTGTAGTCCATAAAGTGATTGGGTGATACATTCATTGTCTTATTATGAATCAAATTTTAAAAGCCAAGTACGTAGTTAACAGAAACTCCTCTACTTCATCCTTGAAAATCAGGACAGTCATTCTTTTTGCTCTGCCTTGCCTGTGAGCTACTAATGACATTAAAATTAGATGGTTGTACATTGAGTTATTTGAATTTCTTAAGGTATTCAACTATGTTGCATGATAAGTGAGGAGCAACATCATCATATGCTTTTTGTCTTTATTTTGTTGGCAGTGTCCAGACTATTTCGTTGTGGGGTATGGAATGGACTTTGCAGAACTCTACAGGAACCTGCCTTATGTTGGTGTCCTGAAGCCTGAACACTACAGCTGATTTCTTCATCCTAGGGAAATACACGCACAGCAATAACATAGTAATTTGACCTCACAAGAATCACAACAATTTGTGCACCCCAGCATTTAGTGTTTCCGTTCTTGCTTTAGAAAGCAAACTCTGATATACATGCTTGCATCTTCATTTTTTAGGATTATATGATGATACTTGTCTGTTTGGGAAGGGGCCATAAGTGATGCACACAGTGATGTTTAAATAAATTTAGTCTGTTGTCATTCAATCTAATGAAAAGAACAGACAAATTTATTAGAACTTTGGCAATCATATGAAAGAAACCAGGGGAAGAAATTGCATGCTATATCTATTTCTTGTTTTCTCATTCAAAGATCCCTCTGGTGCTGTTTGAGTAGAATTTTTCTAGAAGGTGCTATAACATGAAATCGTGTACAATTATCATTGCAACTTTGACAAATGGTAAGTTTTATTAAATTTGAAAGTCTACTACGTGGAATCAACCCTAAAATTTATTTTCGAAACACAATGGTGAAATTTTCTTTCAAAACTGCTTAGCCATACTTTATATGGTGTAAAATAACCCTCCAATAGCATTGTATATAAAAAAGAGAATTAAAGCTTGGGGACTACATTGTGTTTGAGGTGAGATTTTAAGGACTATTCTTAAATTTATTCGAACAAAAAGTAAAACATACGGGAAGAGAACTAAATAAGTTTATAACTAGTACTCTCGTATGTGGTTCAAGTGGTTACGTTTCTCCATATAAAAAGTAAAGTGAAGCACAACACAAGATCATTGAGTTGACTTCTTAATTGGTATTTAAATAGATATTAACTTACTAACCATATTTCCTATCGTAAAAAAAAAAAAAGAAGAAAGTTTATAACTACAAAAATAGTCTTTTTTTTTTTTCTTGAGAACACAAAAATAGTCTCTTTTTAGTGTAGTGTGGAAGTAAGAAAGTAAGATATCATATCCTGAGTTGCATGGTGTGGGATGAGATGAGGCCAATTTAAGAATAAAAAGAGGGAAAATCTGTCTTATGGGCTCGGCCCATATTAATAAATAGCCCATTATGCACTGAAACCCGACCCAATGCCCCAATCCATACTATTCGGGTCGGATCCAATCCTTATCGGTTTTCATACCCTCTCTGCCGCGGCATGGCGGCAGCGAACGATCGTTGCAGACATTACTGAAGTTGTGTTACTGCCCAAATCACGAAACCTGCAGAAATGCAGAAGGCCATGGTGAGAGGAACATCAAGAACTATGCTTTCTTTCTCTCTTCTTTCCACAACCAAACTCTCCTGCAACTACCCATTTCTCAAAATTCCCAGACCCACTAGGGTTTTTCCAGGGTTTAGGCCGCTATGCACCGTCACAACCACAGCAACCCCAGTTCCAGTCATTGAGCCGGACCAAATAAGGCATGAAATGCTTCTTGAAAGATTGAGACTTAGACACCTCAAGGGTTCTGCTAAACCCCTACAAACCAAAACCCAAGAGCGAGTGAGGACTTCTGAGAAGGAGAATGATGTATATGATGGGAAGAAGAAGAAGAAGAAAGTGGTGGTGGGGAGTTTCGAGGAGTTGGGGTTGAGTGAGGAAGTAATGGGTGCTGTGAGGGAGATGGGAATTGAGGTTCCTACGGAGATTCAGGGTATGGGGATCCCTGCTGTTTTGGAAGGGAAAAGTGTGGTGTTGGGATCTCATACTGGGTCCGGAAAGACTCTCGCTTACATGTTGCCTCTTGTTCAGGTGCTTTTTCTTCATTAGTTTTTATTGTTTAATTTCTTATTCAGATTAAGTTTCAGATGATGGGAAGTTAAGTTGCTTTCCTTCCATGTTTCCGGTTGATGTTTAGATTTTCCCTTGTGAGTAATATAAATTTGAGGTGGTTTCTCCATTTGATTGTGTTACCTCATTATTTGGTGTGATTAAATTTTGGATTTTGTAGATTATGCTTGGGAATCAATCGGAGTTTTTGGTGCATATGATATTATCTTGGGTTTTGAAGACATGAATCTTAATTTTGTTTCTTCACAATTAGCATTGAGGTTGTCATTAGGGTGTTTAGTATTCTATAATTCTATGGGACATGTGTGCCTGTTTATGAAACAGATATGGGTTCAAAATTCCTTTCCTTAGTTTGCTGCGAGCTTGGAAATTTTCAGCATATGACCAGTTAACCATTTTTTCTTGGTTAGATTGTGCCTTTGATTTTGTTTGCCTTCAGGAAAATTGAAACTAGTTAAATGAGATTTATGTTGGAATTGAGAGTGATAAGAATTTGAAAGCAATTTGTTCTTATCTGCTTGGCAGCTGCTGAGAAGGGATGAGGCCACCTTGGGTATGCTAATGAAGCCCAGGCGTCCTCGAGCTGTTGTGCTATGTCCCACTAGGGAGCTATCTGAGCAGGTTCTTAACCATTGTTGTATTTTTATGTTGAAGCTTATTCAATTTTTTCCCAATCTATAAAATTACTTGGCTTTGTAGGTTTTTCGTGTGGCAAAGTCTATTAGTCATCATGCACGATTTAGGTCTACCATGGTCAACGGTGGAGGCCGGTTGAAGCCACAGGAGGATTCATTGAATAATCCAATAGACATGGTTGTTGGGACACCTGGCAGGGTTCTCCAACATATTGAGGATGGGAATATTGTTTATGGTGACATCAAATACTTGGTAAGTATCCTAACATATTCAATAAATATAGAGTAGCATAAACTGTTTTTTTTGCACAGAGTAAGCACCTTTCTCATTAATATCTGTAAATGTAATGAACCCTTTTAAATTTAGTACAATTTATAACGCTGCTAATATTTAGTAGGTTTTGGATGAGGCAGACACAATGTTTGACCGTGGCTTTGGACCCGACATTCGCAAGTTCCTTGGCCCACTAAAAAATCGTGCATCAAAATCCAATGGCCAAGGATTTCAAACCATTCTAGTTACTGCAACAATGACAAAGGTTTCCCAACTTCCATCTTCATCATACTTAGTTATCTAGATGAATCATGTGATCCTTTGAATTTGAATATAGGTTTCCCAAATTATATTGTTTGTTTTGGCTAGAAAAGGTTTACCATTTTCCCTTTATATTATTTATATTTTAGCTTTTTTTGTCTGTATTTATGCTTACTTTGTTTTCCCTTATTATTATAATTGTACCATGTTTTGTTGGGTTAAAACTTTTTTAAGGTATAACTGGATATAGGAGTTCTCTATATTGAACAACCTCTGAAGAATTTGTATGATACCAGTGCTACACATAGAAGATTAAATATACTATTAATTCGAACTTCCATAGATATCTCTGTTTGTAGCTCTCTTGCCTGGAATCATACTTTATTTGTGTCTAAGGAGGGAATTGCTAAAGATAGATACATCTTTCTAGTCGCAGTTTGCAGTCATAAAATGATAAATACACAGCAGTTTTAATTGATAGGCATTTAATCTTACTGCTTTTTCTCACAATCAGAAAACAACTTCTGTCCACACTACCTTTCAGTGGCTTGGTATTAGGTTGATGAAAATTTCTAGTTTTGACCTTTTTGAGGTGTTCCAGGCGGTGCAAAAGCTGATTGATGAGGAATTTCAAGGAATAGAACATTTGCGGACATCAACACTGCACAAAAAAATAGCATCTGCTCGCCATGATTTCATCAAACTTTCAGGTTCTGAAAACAAGCTGGAAGCATTGTTGCAGGTCCAATTTTGTGATGCCTTCTCTTTACATTTTGTTTGCTATTTTTGAAGAAACAAGATAGGTTGTCTTTGCATTAGCTCTATATGATTACCATCAAGAAATCTCAAGCACAGCATGCTTATTCTTCGATTGAAATAAAGCTTTTACATAATTAAATGTTGCAAAAATGTATCTCTGAGGTGTTACTGCTGTGCATGCTTGGATTTCAACTCCTTTATTTTTGGAAAGTGATGCTCCCTGAACATTTAGACTAGTTTATTCCAATACTTTTGATTGAGGTTCTTTTGATAATGTTGTTTGGCTAAAACTGTTGTTGTATGTTGTGTGTTGACTTGTCCTAAAGCATAGTCGTGACTCTTGTAACTTGCTCATTGTGTTGGCTTGAGTGGTTAGGGAAGGGGCAAGGTCATCTTATTTCTCCAGGGCAGATATCATTTTTGCCTTTGTGATAACTTTTCATTAGCTAAAGTGGGGATGATTGATTATAACAATTCAAACCTGGTTTAACTCTGCAATATAATTCAAACCTGGTTTAACTCTGCAATAAGAGCATTATGACAAAATAAGGTTAACTTGCATGGGATAACAGGTTCTTGAGCCAAGTTTGGCTAAGGGGAACAGAGTGATGGTATTCTGTAACACATTAAACTCTAGCCGTGCTGTGGATCACTTCCTTGGAGAAAATCAGATCTCTACTGTTAACTACCATGGTGAGGTTCCAGCAGAACGAAGGTGAGATAATACTACATGTACATACTACATATAGCATAAGGAATGCAACACTCTAGGCATGTCATGTTTATTAATTATTTATTCAGAGTAATATCCCAAATATTTTCTTTGTAAACCCAGGGTAGAAAACCTGAATAAGTTCAAGAGTGATGATGGAGACTGTCCCACATTGGTCTGTACGGACTTGGCAGCTAGAGGACTGGACTTGGATGTTGATCATGTTATAATGTTTGATTTCCCTTTGAACTCTGTAAGTGTTGTACTGTGTATCAAGTTGAAATTTCTCCATAACCTGCATGCCGGATGCCCCGATTTTCTTTATAGTTTCTCCCTTCTTTTCCCGTGCTTAGAGATTTTTATCTAATGTTTTTATTATCTTTACTTTTAGATTGACTACCTTCACCGCACAGGGAGAACTGCTCGTATGGGTGCAAAAGGTTTGCAAGCATCTATCTTCAATTCAATGCACTAGCCTTTTCCCCCTTGTTGTTAAAAAATAAATGTGCATATGTCTGGTAACTTCTTAATTAGGAAAGGGCTATGGATGTGAATGCTAGAAACTTAGTGAAGTATCTTGTAACTTGCTCTACCAACGTTCTACCAAGTCATATGTCTTATAGTATCTCTGACGAACTTCAATAATAATCTTTCTGTTGACTAAACCAAAGGGGGATAATAACCTGTATAGGATTTTGCTGGAAGGAGTCTTTTATTTTGTAACATTACTTACTGGCTTCTATTGTTACATTTAAATCACTTAAAATCAATTGTTCCAGATTTCCCCTGACCCTTGAAAACAGAAAAAGAGAAATTTATTATTTATCAATGGCTGCTGCTTTTGTGTGAACTAAGTAGACAATTATTTGGGGTGGCAACACAAATCATCCATGGACTCTTTTAGGCGATGCCACATCTTCTTTCCCCCATTTAAGAGGCAAATGGATATTTATGTAATGCTGAAATTCAATTAAGACTTGTGACAATTTTGGTTTTTGCTTTCTGAAAGAGTGGACAGATTCTTCATCAAGTTAAAATAGCATCCTTTTCCCTTTACAGGGAAAGTGACAAGTTTGGTGGCAAAAAAGGACCTTTTGTTGGCTGAACGGATTGAGGAAGCAATAAGAAAGAATGAAAGCTTGGAATCTCTAACTACTGATAATGTCCGTAGGGATGTTGCAAGGGCTCGAATAACTGAGCAGAAGGGGAAGAATACTAAATTAATCAGGGCGTTGAATCAGAAGAAGAGTAAATCTATGCCTGGACAGACATCAGGGAAGAAGCCATCAATAGCAAAACCAACAAAAGCATCTTCTACAGCAAAACCTTCAAAGGTGAAAGTAAAAGCATCTTCTCCAGCAAAACCTTCAAAGACGAAAGTAAACGCATCATCTCCAGCAAAACCCTTGAAGGCAAAAGTTAAGCTGTCAAAACCATTAAAAAGGGAAAAATCATCTTCAGTCACAAAGAATAGAAAGTCCAGCGCTGTCAATTCTACTGCTAGAAAACTTAGTGTTGTTGGGTTCAGGGGACGGGCTTCTTCTAACAAGAAAGAATTGTTTAGGGGTAGTTGATTCTTGCCAAATTTCTCAATCAACTTGTACTGGAATGCCTTTCAACAAATGAGATTTGCAATGAATTTTTTTTGGGTACAGTGCATTGAAATTATTTAATACGTGTTAGCCAACTCTCCAATGGTACCAAAATTTTCTCTGGCAGGTATATTTCAATTTCTTTTGCAGATAAATCATATATGGAGATTAATTATTTTATGCAGGGATTGGTTTTTGCCACTGAGACAGTAGGTTTGCGCATGACTGGACATTTCATACTTTCATGAGGTTGGTTCTCTAGAAATTGTAATGATTTTAGGTTTATTGTCCTGATAAAGATATGTTAAAGACAGCACTTCTGGGAAACAAACTTGAAACTGACACTAGAATAGAGTTGCATTTTGACCCTTTTTTTACATCAGCATTACATTTCAACAATTACTAGTTGACACATTCTCTCTTCATAATTCTGACTTCTCTTCACTTCCAGGTGAGTAAAGCACGAGGGGCCTTGGCAGGGGTAACACGATTGCCTTCAGCATCATAGATTATGACTCCAGAGTAATCCGGCAACTGGCACTTCCCTCCCATGAGTATGTTCTTCTTCCAAACTGGTTGCTCACAGTTACCACTTACTGCAATTTCATCTTCATTCCCAGCTTGAATCCCATGGACTTCTGTATTCATAAATTCATTGCTGAGCTGTTGTATGACGGGTTCTTCATCAAAAAATTCATAACAAGCACTCCTGAGCCATCTTTTACGTGAGTGAGAAGCACACATGAACAAAGCAAAAGCACAGAAAAGAAATGCAGCTGCAGCAAGGCCTGCCTGAGACACGCTCTCTGGGGTTGATGTAAAGTGAAGCGGGCGAGCCATGACTGATGAGAAACCTAAGACTTGGTGTGTCTGAACTCTGAAGCCAAGGCTAGGACACTTATATATATATAATCCCTTGATTCGGGTTGGCGAAATGGGTTAGTTGTACTCAAAGGATCTGTTAGAAAAACAGATTAGGATTTTTGACTTGTATATTCTCTCATGTGGTTTTGGTCTCCAAAGCTTCATCCTTTTCCTTTGTGCCCGTTTCTTCTTAGTAGAACAGTTGAACCTGTTCCAAGCAACGCTTGTTTTGTAGCGCACCACAAATGCATGCCACATTGCCAAGGCAATAAATTGCAGTTAATGTCAAGAAATTGGTTGTTATAGCTCCTTCAATTTTAAAATGAAAATTATTTAAAATTTTTTTTGAGTTATATAATAAAAAGTAATTTTTTCTCATCATTTTATTCATTTTACTTCTACTTTGAATTTATAATATTTTATTTTTATTGAAAAAAATTATTATTAAGTTATTTAAGTCAATAATTAAAAACTTTAAAAGGGGCAAGAGTGCAAGTTGTTTTCGGTAAAAACCTACTTTAGCCGTTTACTTTATCAAATTTGAAGGTTTTAGTCCCTCATTTTATGTTATAACACTTTTAGTCCCTCATCTTACTAGATTTATAGGTTTTAGCCTTTTATTTATTAAAATCAAAAAAATAGTCCTCATTTTATATTGATTGTTAACTTTGTTAGTTAAAAGTAGGTTTTTATCAATCAACAATCAATTAATAGTCAGTTAACAAAATTAACGAAATATTATAAAATTAGTTCTGTTAATTTTGTTAGTTAAAAAAATATTTTTATCAATTAACAGTCAATTAACAGTCAGTTAACAGTCAGCTAATAAAGTTAATAATTAGTTAACAAAGTTAATAATCAGTTAACAGAACTAATAAAATATTACAAAATGAGGATTGTTTTTTTAATTTTAATAGGTGAAGGGACTAAAAATGTCAAAATATGAAGTAAAGAGCTAAATCTTATAAATCTAGTAAGATGAAAAATTCAAAGTATTATAATATAAAATGAATGACTAAAACTTTCAAATTTGATAAGGTGAGAGGCTAAAGTAGTCTTTTGCCGCCGCACCAATATTGGGTTTTTCCCATTTTCGGCCTGAAAGTAATATTGGGCTGGGGCATTCCGTTTCACCATAGAAGCCCTTTACCTAAACGAGTCCATAAACCACTAGATTAAGTGATTAACAGATACGCCTACGCGCTTCGCATGTGGCTCTCCCTCACTCTCTTCTCCGTTCCCTTTCTTTCTAGTTCTCCTACTCTGGAAATGCAGTGCGGTTCAAGAATTTCTCTCTCAAAATTGCTTTGGAGACACCCATTTCCGTCTTCTCCAACACCCATATCTCCAATTTCCCTCACATCGCCTACTCAGGCTCAAACTCGACTCGCTTTCAACTCTGTCTTTTTCTCCTCAGAACCCTTCCTTTTTCACTCACAAGCCCAATTCTTAGGGTACCAGAACCCGAGAAGATACACTAGTGCTACTGAGTCTGGGGCTTATGCGGACGTCAACAAACAGGTTGATGGGAAGGAGATAGAGAAGCCAGATGTATCCAAAGAGACTTTCTGCTTCGATGAAGAACTGCAGTGTCCTAAGGCTGCCGTGAAGGAAGTTCTGGAGAAGTATGAGGGGCTGATGGCGAAGTTATCAGAGCCCGAAAAGGCAGCCCTGCATCGCTCTATGGGACAAAAGATTGAGCAGTTTAAGGCTGAGCTCAAACAGATGGAAATGGAAGATGAATGAGGTTGGTGCAAATAGGTTTTGCTCAAAACTTTTCAATGCTTCATTGTTTATGTTATCTTATGATCTTTGTCAGGGTTCATCTAGTTTTACTTGTAACTGTTGTGAATTTTTTGGAATAATGGATTAGTGTAGTATTGCCAATTCATGCCTTTCTGATTCAGTTTGAGGAAATTGCCACGCGCATTTGCATTGTCCAGATGGATTATACAAATATGATGAGTAGTGACATACATGGTAAGTGCATGGTGTTAATGACTTAATGGTGGATGGTGCTTATTAGCGTACGCAGTTTGTAGTTGGTTTTTGCTTGTTATGGGCTTTTCTAATTCCCGAGGGGAAGGAGACAAATAGAAAAGATTCAATTGGCAGTTTCATCTGCTGCCAAGTTTTAGCCAAGAGATTGAAACGTTTTTGTGTTGCCCAAAAAGATTGCCTTTGATCACCATGTCTCATTCTTTGTGTGAGGACGTGTCCACTTTTAATCCTTTCCGAAGGTAGATTCTTTCTCTTAATTGGTTCTGTTTTCATAGATTCTTTTTGGTAGTTGTTTTTATATTCATAGATTCTTTTTTGTAATTGTTTCTATATTCTTAACTGTTAGGAAAATCTTCATTATTTCTGGGCTAGTCAGTGGCTGTGTAGTCATCAACATTTTTTTTGTTGTTTCACTATTCCTCGTTATATATCCAAATGCTCAAATGGAAGCTGATTTAATAAAATTTAATTTCCAATTTGCTAACATTTTGTTGGAGGAGTTAGTCATCATCCAAAGTCACAACTATAAAACGTTACTAATGTGAATCTGCTCATAACAAACTTAATAGTAAAGAACATGCTGTCCCCAAAAAAAAAAAAAAAAAAAGAAGAACTTAATGGTAAAGAACTTGTGATGATGTTGTTGGCATGCTCCTATGAAATTCTATCCCTTTTATCTTAATCATTGATTTCCTGTTCCAGTGTAGACCAGCATTGTCTCCTCTTTCATAGAAACTCTAAATAGATGCATCTCCTGAATCATGTGATGTGATGCATACAAGTGGGGAATAAAATATCTTTTGTCTCTAATCAAAGTTATGGTTGAGAGGACATGATCTTGATATCACTGAACTTTTGGTGTATGATTATGATATATATCTATGATTTTGTTGATATTCTTGGTCATGATGTCAACCTAACAGCTTTGATTATTATGTAGATAACTTTTGCTTGTTTGTCAAACTGAGCTTATTTCTAGTTCCATCACATTCATGTATGCCACCATTTCAGACAGTTGCCTGGTTTTCAGATTAATCAGTGATTATAGGTTTCGGGCTATAGCATTCTGACCTCCTTCCTGCAGTGTGCTACATTTCCCTAATCATTGCCTCATTCTAGCAGGCAACAAGTAGTTGTGGATGCTACTTCAAGAAGGTCAAGTCTGTATGGCCATTTAGGCATCAAAGGGCATGATCGGAACAATATTTTATGAGGTTTTTGGTGCTAGAAGCATTTGTTATGTAAGGAATTTTGTGGTAACTGCTTATATATTTAGATTATGCTACTGAACAATGGTTAATCTTAACTGTTGACCAAAGGAAGGGGTCATGGATAATTTGTTTTGTTTATTTATTTATTTCAAAGTTGTCACTTTATCAAGGTCCTTTTTTTCAATCGAATTAAGAAGCTAACCTTTTTTCTCCTGACAAAGTCTTTACTATTTAGCTAGATGAATACTTAGTAAATGGATAAATGCTAATTGTACTTAAAGTCAATATATAATTGTCCTGTTCTGCCCTTCGATTGTAGTGAAATACCCAAATAAAATGCTATTACCAAATTGACAAATTATATATTGACCTTAAGTAGGACTTTCTGGTATTTCTTCTGAATGAGCTAATATTTAGCAACATATCTCGTCTTACCCAAATCTCATTCCACACTTAATATGAAAGCTTTTTTGGTAGAAAATCAAGTCTTAGTTGTTAGGACATTTTTGAAAAGTGAATTCTGAATCTGAATGTCTGCATCTTTATGGGGAGGAAATATGTTTCGGCAACATGTCTTCTCTAGTTATTTATCAGAATACGCCCGTTATTAGGACTGCTAGATGTCAAGAAAGAAGAAGGAAACCAGAAGAAATGAGAAGATAAAACATTTGATTGTTGAGAAAATATGGATAAGGGCAGAGAGTAAGTGAGACATCTCAAGCCTTTTCCACTTCTGCATTCTGGTAAATCCACTATGTAAAATCAGACACCAAAGTCATAAACCGAAGAGGAAGTCCATGGGAGGAACACTGGAGATGGGGCTGCAATGGCTTTTATGGGAAAACGTGAGTGAGGTGAAGAAAGCTGTTATGCTCCAGTTACATTGTTCTCAACCACAGAAATTCAGGTAGAGTCCATTGATTAGCAAAATGATGGTGCTCAACCATCTTGAAATCAGCTCTAACACCCAGTCAATAAGTCGAGAAGCAAACCTCCTTGTTAACCAAGATTGACCCTTCTTATACCATTGATCTTTTTGTTTGATGACTAAAATTTCCAACAATTGAAATATCAATCATTGAATATTAAACCCTTGAGACAAAGAAAGAAAAAAGCAGACATGTCTTGAATGAAAAATTGACTCAACGAAGACCAAAAAGGACACCACGTTCACTGAGATTGTGAAGAAAAGGACTTGCTCGTGGTAGGGCAAGATAGGTGTTCACGAGTTCTTGCCTTCCACCACCTCTTGTTTGGATTTTCTTCACCACGTTATATGATTTCAGTTCAATTCACCTTGGGCTACAAAGCAAAGAAAAGAACAGAAACTCGCTCACAGAAGTAATCTAGTTGCTTGCAATGATGCAAGTGAGTGTGTCAGTGTCAGGTTTAGAGAAGACATCAATTTCATTATTGGGTTTTCTTTTGTATTTTTCTCAGAAAGGGATTGAAAGGAGAAGAAGAGAACAGAGATGTAGACTTTTATTGTGTTTTGTTTATTAGATCTTCTTTTTGACCAAAGAATTATAGAAAGGGAGAAGGAGCATGGAGGAGGTGAAGAAGCACAAGGGAAGACATCGGTTGTCTGTGGAGGCATGTGAGGAAGGAGGGGAAGGAGAAATGGTCCTGTTTCTGCCTGTCTGCTGTTTTGCTGCATCAAAGGGGCCTACTTTTGCTATATTTTTTGGATTGTGCATGTAGGGTTGCTTTCTAATCTTCATTTCATTTTCCCCAAATTTTTGTGTCTGAGTTTTCTTTTACTTGGGTAGCTTGACAATAAATCGAAGTTAAAATTCACTTTCACCAGTATAAATAAATCCAAATCAAGATTTAGGATATTTTACTCTATTTTTTTTTTGTTGTAATTTTCAATGCACTAGTCCAAAAATTATGACAATGAGCACAAGTTCAGGCAGAAATTATGCAGAGGAAATGCTTGAAACTGTGTTATATAATTCATTAGAAAATGAGATAAACAGAGAAAAACCAAAGGAGGCAAAAGCAAAGAAAAGAACATGAAGCAAAATCAACAACATTGATGTTTCTAAAACTGTACAACAGACCCAAGAGTCATCTCAAATTCTGAACCCAATGATTTTAATCTCCTTTTTTTTTTATCTTGGGACATCAAAGAACTTCAATCACTGATGTTCTTAGAAATTTTGAAAAGATAACAAGAAATGAGGAGAGAACTGCCCAAAAGAAATCAACTCTGGTTTGAGGATTGCTTTATTAGAGGTTGGGAAGTTTTTCCCCATTCGTCAGTTGGGCTTTTCACTTCCATCAGCAATGCCACCACTTCCTTCATTGTTGGTCTTTCTGTAGGCGAGGAGTTCACACAGAACATTGCAATTCCTAGCGTTTGAAGCATCTCTTGCACAATTTGGTCTGGCAATCCTTGCAGCTTTGTATCAAGTATTGATGCCGCTGGTTCGAAGCTTCCCATCTTTCTCTTCACCCACTCTACTATGTGCAAGCCATCACCCAGCTGGGGTTCCACTGCACTACGCCCACTTAGTATCTCCAATAGAACAACTCCATAGCTATAGACATCACTCTTTTCAGTTATGTTAATTGTGTATCCATATTCTGCAAGCATAAGTATTGAATTTTGTTAGAATTGAAATGGAAATGAATGGATCGCCAATGTGACTCAGGACTAAAGCAATCGTAATTTTCCTACATAACTAACACATCAAAGGTAGCATACAAGATCAAAGACTTATCTAACACATTAAAAGGATATCTTAAGCATACCGTGGATAATGAAGCAAACCAACATTTTACATGTATACTAATGCAAATGAAGATAGGTGAAGGATACTTGCCTGGGGCAATATAACCATAAGAACCAGCAACTCTGGACATTGCATAATGGAAATTTGGAGAGTTCATCAACTTTGCCAACCCAAAATCTGCAAGATAAGCCTCGTATTTGGAATCAAGAAGTATGTTGTTACATTTGACATCTCTGTGCAAAATGGCTGGTACGCAATCATGGTGCAGATAAGCCAAGCCTTGAGCTGAACCTACCGCAATCTTGTACCTTGTTTCCCAATCCAAGTTCCTATTCCCTTGCAAAAGCTGTTGAAGATTGCCATTTGGAATATGATTGTACAAAAGCAACTTAACACTTCTATTGGAACAATAGCCTAATAGCTTCACAATGTTCCTATGCCGGATATGTCCTAGAATCTGAATCTCTGCTGTAAAAGAATCCACTACAGGCTCTTCATCACGCTTCGTCTTCCAAAGCTTTTTCACAGCAATCAACTCCCCATTAGGCATCTCTGCCTTGTACACAATCCCGGAGCACCCTTTTCCGATCACATTCTCATCCTTAAGACATTCTAGGATGTTGTCAATGGTGAAGCTAAGCTTTTGGAATGGAATGAACGTCCATGGATAAGAGAAATCTTCTGCCCCAGAGGTAGAGGATGATGACCCAGAAGACTTTTCCACTATGTACCTATGATTTCTCATAATCAAAATCCATGAAGCAAGGATTACTAGTGTAACTGAGACCAAAATCACAGAAATCAAAGCTACACTCTTTGCAGAATTCAATCCATTCTTTCTCATGAAACGTGAAGAACAAGTAGACCCATCAATGGATTGACACAAATTAGGGTTTTGAAGATAAGAATTTGGAGAAACAGTCCTAAAGAAAGGTGTCACAGGAATTGGACCAGAGAAGTTATTGCAAGATATGTTCAAGGAAGTAAGACTAGTAAGGGAACCCAAAACCTTGATTCTTCCATATAAATTGTTGTGAGAAAGATCAAGAGACTGCAGCTGTGTCAAACTGGAGAAATTCTCTGGTAATTCTCCGGTGAAAGAGTTGGAGCTTAGGTCCAAATTGATTGTCAAGCTCGTCACATAGCCAATCTCTGGGGGAATTTCACCGGTGAAGTTGTTATTGCTCAAATCAAGCAGGGTAAGCTTCTGCAAATTTCGAATAGATTTCGGAATTGGCCCTGTTAGCAAATTCTTATTGAGAATGAGCTTAGTCAAGTAACTAAGATTACCGAAAGTCTTCGGAATTTCTCCAGTGAAGCTATTCCGACTGAGGTCAAGCAGCTCCAAATTAACAAGCTCTCCAAGCTGCGATGGGATTTCTCCAGTAATGTAGTTGTTGTGAACATCCAAGTTTTCAAGAACTGTGATGTTGGCAATCTCCAGTGGAAGGTTACCAGAAAAATGATTCATGTACAAGTCGAGAAAGACCAGGTTTTGCAACTGACCTATCTCCTTCGGAATTTGACCGGAGAGTTGATTCTCTCCAAGTCTCAACCGCACTAGAGATTCACAATTTGCGACACTTGCTGGCAATGATCCGGTTAAAGAATTTCCCAAGAGAAGAAGCTTGCTCAGACTCTTTATTTCGAAAATTGCCTCTGGTATTGATCCAGTGAGCTTGTTCCTCGAAAGATCAAGGGAGCACAGATCTGTGCAATTTCTGAATGAAGGAGGAATTGTACCAGAAACTGAATTCCCCCACAAAAAAAAACTTTGTAAGTTTTTCAAATTGCCCACCTCCGACGGAATCGTGCCAGAAAGTTGATTCTTGTCAAGCTGAATATTAGTTAAACTTGAACAATTACTCAACTGCCATGGAATCGACCCAGTTAGTGCATTATCCGACAAATGAAGCTGCTCAAAATACCCAAGCTTTCCCAGGTCGCCGGGTATCTCACCGGAAAGTTGATTAGCAGAGACATCAAGCACAACAAGCGCCGAACAATTAGAAATCTCTGGTGGAATCCGTCCCGATAACTCATTCCCCCATAAAAGCAAGCTAGTGAGCTTTTGAAGCTTACCCAACTGAGGAGGTATTGAACCGGTGAGCTTGTTCATGTGCAAGTACAAATTTCTTAACTCAGAGCAGGACCCAAGTTCAGGAGGAATCGACCCAAATACCTCAGTGTCGTAAAGAGACAGTGTCTGTAGGTTGATCAAGTTACCAAATGTGGGCGGGATTACACCAGAGAGGCCAGTAGCAGCAGCTCCAAATGTTGTGAGGTTGGTGAGGAGACCAAATTGGGAAGGAATTTCCCCTGTCAAATCAGGATTTCCTCCTATTCTGAGTTGCTGGAGGGAAATCAAAGAACCTAGTGGAGATGGTATTGACCCATTAAGGAGGTTGTCTTGGAGACAGAGAACCTGGAGGGAAGTAAGGTTGGCTAGCTGCGGAGGAATCCGGCCATTGAGTCTATTTGAATTCAAGAAAAGGAATTGAAGGGCAGAGAGGTGGCCGAACTCTCTGGGGATGGGGCCAGAGAGGGAGTTGGTGGAAAGGTCTAGGAGGTGGAGATTGGTAAGTTGGCCGAAGGAAGGAGGGATTGTACCGGAAATGTTTGTGGAGGAGAGGTTGAGTAGCTGGAGGGAGGAAAGTGAGGAGAGTGCCGGTGGGATAGTGGAAAGGTTCAGGAAAGTATTTGGGAGGGACAGAGAGATTACTCTGTTTTGGGATGAACATGTTATGCCTTGCCATGAGCATGGTGTTTGAGATGCTGGGTTCCATGATGAGAGAACCGAAGATAATGATTTTGCCAATGGGTCGGCGGCAGATAGAAGAGTGAGGAGTGCTTCTCCGTCAGGAGAAAGGGCGGTTGCTAAGCTAAAAAAGAAGAGAAACAACAGGGGATTGCTAGCTCTTACCAAAGGGATGGCTTCGGCCATTTGGAGTATCAAAAATGAGGCCGAGGAGTGGAAGCAATAAGTGGGTGTTGGAGGACGGAGGTGGGTCGAAGTGGGTTTGTGACGGCGGCGGCAGTGGTGCTAGTTGGGGTGGTGAAGGTCCAATCTAAGGAGACAACATGCATGTGAGTGAGTTTTTGTTGGCAGGGAGAGTTTGCTTACATTTTACACCTAAGTGTTGAATCCATCTAGTGCTGCTGAAACCATGCATGTGAACTACAAGAAACTAATTAAAGGATAAGTTCCATAAAGAAAGTAATGTACCACAGAGAGTGATGGTGGTAGTGGTAGTGGTGGTGGTGGTGATGGTGAGATGCTTAAGGCCAAGTGCCGCCGAGACGAAGACACCGTGAGTGGTGGTTGTTGGGGAGGGTGAGAAGATTTGAGTTTGGAGCAGTTTTCTTGCTTGTAACCTGGAGGGGGCAAAGCATTGAAAGACCCATCCTATGCATTTAAATGGGAATACTTTAATTCAGTGCAGTGATTTGGACGCCATATTGACCCTTTTTTATCCAATCTACAGTTAAAAATTGAGGCTACTACCAATTATTCTGTTGCTGTTGGGGCCACTTTTGATTCAGTGTAGCAAGTCTCAGTTTTGTTTATCCCTACTCTCACTCGTGGCACAATCATGGACATTTCTGGGACCAAATTAGTAGACTCACTTGATGAATGGGAGAATCAATCAAATGGTTAAAATCAATTCAAATTATTTAATTTTTTCTCTTTATGTTGGGATTTTTAGGAAATGCAATTGCAGCCAACTGAAGTCATTTACTTCGGGTCCCAAACTCTTAAAATTACTGGTACATTATACTAGTAGCATATTTTTCCAAAAAATGTATTTTTCTGTTGACAGTACAAGACACCAATTATAACGGAACTAAGAGTTCTTCAATTGCAGAAGTAGGCTTCTTACTTTTATGGTTGGTGTTTTGCAGATTAATATTGTATGGATTACAAACTTAGGAATGATCTTTCTCTTTTTTTTATGGGTTTTTGTAACTTATATTGTAAAGG